TTACTACAAAATTAAGCTTCTTTCCCCAAAAACGAAGAAACAAATGCCAAACCGAAAACAAAAAAGTCTGTTCCAGTGAAGCTTAAGTTTACTTTAAAAATGATAAATGCAACTGAAACTGAATGAATCCACTGAGATTTCAACCTAACATAAAAACACATGACTAAAAAAAATAGAGAAATTAACTTTCTCCAAATTTTGGTACAACTAATTCATGCCTAAATATGCAAGCTGCAACAAAGATATATTGCTACATGAAAGGGGGGAAATACCCTTTTCTTAAGCAGATCTTACGAAACTCAAGAACGAAACCCTAATGATTAATTAAATTCCCAACAGAATCTCAAAGGGAAAATCGAAGAAGCAATCTATCTATGCTGAATTTCAAAAGGATGGGCTTTTTTCCCTTTTTTTTATTTTACGACAAATCTCTGTACTTTCCCACCTAAAATAATGGTACACAAAGAAGATTAAAGACTGAATAAAAGACTTGGTAGATCTAATTAAATATTTTGATAATTGAGAGAAGAATATGAGATGAAAATAATTACCAAGAAAATCAAAGAAAGAAGTTGGAAGATCGAGAGAAGCTCACCTGAAACAGGTCGGAATTTATTTTGGATTGTTAAACTGAAAGGAGTAGGGGTGATATTGTCAAGTACGTAGGCGAAGCTTCTTTTAGGCTTAATGCTCTTTTTGTCCCCTTAATGTTTGATTGTTTTTCTAATATGATAATGTTTCATGGGTAAAGTACACAAATCTCTTAGACTATAGAGTTTTATTTTATTAAGTCCTTAAACTATTTAAAGCTATATAATAATCTATTAATTATAGAATATTATTTTATTAAGTCATTCTATTATTAAAAGAACTTTAATGTTTATTAACATTAGGGCAAACTACATAAACGATTACTTATATTTAAATAAGTTTTTGCTTTTTTTTAATGAAGTCTCAAAACTAATAAATTAATCACATCGATTTGTAACAAATTGATCTCAACGCTAACAGACGTTGCAAGAATAACAATGAAAGAGCTCCAAAAATCTTCATCAATAGAAAATCTTCAATTGAACCCCATGTCTAACTCTATAAATACAAGTGAAGAGAGTGCAATAAAGGGTTTAAAATGATTCCTCCTGGGTTTCATTTCGTCTTCTACAGCCCCTCTATCAGAGAAAAACTGTTACATGTGATTGGCTACATGCAGAGCCGGCTATAAGTGGGAGCAGCATGAGCAACAGTTCAGGGCTCTATTTTATTTAATTGTGTAAAAAATCATTAACTAGTAAGGATTTATCATGTCAACATCGTGTGGATCAGATTTAGTCCACTTGAATTTAATAATAGGGTAAGTGACATGCCAAACCTCTCGAGTTTTATTTGTATTCAATTTAATTGACTCTTATTTATTTATAAATTTTATAATTTTTAAGTTGACGAAAATTCTATAATTTAATTGGATTTTAAAAATATGATGAAATTAGGTTGCAACATGACCAGTAACAAGTCTAGCCTAGATGTATATGCCCATAAAAGAGTGTCGGAATTTTAAAGCCAAATAATTAAATAACAAACTTTAAAAAAATCATTTATAATCAAATAAATAATAAAATGATCAAAGTAGATTCAAAACGCTCACACTCAAATCCATGTTTACATAATTAAGTCTAAACAAGAGACGGGAACAAACATATTTCCCATTTCAAGTCACATTGAGATCTGTCTGGCATTAAACTAAACAGGTTTCCCACAAGTTGCAGAACACTTGACATCAAGCATTGATTGGTTTATTTCTTCAAAATCAAATGAATTTGAAGAATGTTATTTGTAATTACACACACCACTGGGTTGGAGCACAATCAAATCTGTTCGACCCATTTTTTCTTTTTTCTTTTGTTTGATATCATATCCTTGTAATTTAGCCAAAGCAGCTTTACCCCTTTTGGGCAATAGCTGTCGGAAGAATCATTGTTTTCCGACCTTGGCGCCGCCACCCCTTGTTGCCTTCACATGGGAGACATAGTCAACGTAGCTCATAGTAAATAAGGAGCTTTGGTAGCGAGTGAGTTTTATACGATTCCTGAGCGACTCGGTGATGGGGCCACTGAACCCTGCCTTACGGACGAGCGAGTGGATTGCCTCCACCTTAGTCCAACTTGAGAGCAGATATAAATGCACCAAACCACATGAGAATTTGCTCCCAAAAACTAGGTTCGTTGCAAACTATCTTAATAGGACACTCATTTATTGTCATTATGCCATAAAAGTTTGGCACAGACCAACTTCTCAATCTAAAATTTTTGCAAAATTTGTACTTAGACATGCACATGCAGAGACGTGTGTATATATATGTAATTAACATAAAAGAGGAGAAAGAAAAGTCTGCATCATATCATATAACCGCATTCGACATAAAACGAGCAATGAAGTCTACCTTCGTGTGCCGGCACATCAGGTAAGTACGTAGCACTTCGCCTTGTATTATAATCATCAACAAACTCAATAATTATGCCATGCTTTCCAACCTGAAAGAAAAATGCAAACGAAAATTACAGAGTAGGACGTAAAATTAATGAGGAAGAAATAACTAAAGTGCAGAAAGAATTAGAGAGAAACATCAAAGGAGAAACAGAGGAAAAAATTGAATACGGAGGAAAAACAATCCACCAGGACATCGAAAGAAAAGGACGGCCGTACCCAATCAGGATATTCAAAACTGGGAATTATTTGATCAACCAATACATTCAGGCAGTGTATGTTACAGTCTGTATTAATTGATCAGATGTTAAAAGATCCAAATTGAGATGAATTACATACCTCCCAATCAAGGTAGTTATTACCTCCCAATCAAGGTAGTTATTAGCTGTTTCATAATCAGTCAGAACAGAAACTGTACACTCTAAATAAGGCAGTTCTTTAGCTTGTATGGGGGGGGGGGGAACCTACGGTCTCTCAAGGCACCGCAAACAACAGAAACTAGAACATATCACAAGGCATGCCTTGAGAAAAATATGAAGCATGCCAAAGTAGCAGCAAAATGAATCGATTAAAAACTTGTAGCTTATATGACACACAGAGTAAAGACAATTTTGAAAGAACCAAAATCATGTGGTCGCAAACCAAAAAGAAGTACATATAGACATAGTTGTAATGGCCTTAAGGCCCTAGACCATGTAGTGGTCCTACTTTAGAGATCATGATGCATATTTTATTACAACACTAGAGTGGTTGGATATTGCCATGTAGGAAAAAATCGTAATGGTAGAAAGTATTATTGGCATTCAAGGTTTCTTAATTTCTTTAGAGTAATTATACAGGGCGAAAAAAGTGCCATTGGTATTCAAACATCATGCCCTATTAATTTTAGGTGAAGCTCAGCAACTGTTTTACCATCACAAGCACTGCTTGGAAATCAGGCTTAGTTGACTGGAAGCAAGACGTTAAATCAAAACAGTGTCGTTTGACCAACCATGTTCACTAGTATAAATAGCACCAAAAAGCTCGCAACTGACTTACAAATCACTAAAAGTGTCTTACCTTAGTACTTGTCTTTTTTTTTTTTTGAAATTAAAGACTGTTTCATTCAAATGCCAATGGCGTCAAGAATAACATTGTTTTTTATACATTCCGGTTCATCGAAATAAAACCAAAAAGGATTGGTCCTCGACAAGACCCAATTTGCAAGGATGTGAGCTACTCGGTTCATCTCTCAATTAACATAGTGAACCTTGAGGGTCGGAGCTTGAAGCATTAGTGCACGTGCCTCATTGAGCAACAATCCAATGATTGAAATGTCCTCTTGGTGGTTCGCCAATCGATTTACAATGGAGATTGCATCTCCTATGATTGAAAAATCCCATTCGTTCTCGGTGGCGAATTTAAGGCCCTCTGTGAAAGTTAAGGCTTCCACCGATTCTGCCGTGTGGGTACCTTCAAGGTTACGCGCAAGTCCACCCACCATCATTCCATGGTGATCTCTAGCAATAACACCAATTGCCGCAGCCCTAGAGGAGGTCTTGAAAGCTCCATCAACATTGATTTTAATTCGGTTTACCTCTGGTTTACTCCACCATTTAGGGAGAGAACAACCAACTCTAATAGGGGCGTGGAAAAGAGTCCCTGAATCTTTTTTAAAATCCTCAACTAGCATCCATGTCGTATTCACCACTTCGCTTGTCCTTTGAAGCTCTTTATCGTGAACCCATTTATTCCGGTGATTCCATATGTTCCAAATAAGAGCAACAAGCTTGGAGAGGCCGTCTTGATCAAGCTTTGTTGCTGATTCTTCCATCCAAACCTTGCAACTTGAAGCTCTTGAGTCAATGATGGATCGGTTCAAACCGAAAAGCGTAAGCACCTCCTTTGCCTCAGTACACTCCTTAAGCGCATGGAGAGTAGTCTCATTCAAATTTTCGCACATCGAGCAACTTCGATGGCCAAGTCCCACGGTAGCAAGCTTCACTCTCGTAGGCAACGATTCATGACAAACTCTCCACCCAAAAAACCTTGATCTTTGGGAGAATGGGGAGCTTCGTCAAAGCTTTCCAAATCGAAAATCGGTCACACTCTGTACCAGCTGCCATGAGAAGCCAGTTATACCCGGATTTTGTAGAGTAACAACATGTGTTATGATGCTCTCAAAGAAGAATGTCATCCTCTTGAAAACTTCTTTTAACCTTGTCGATATCCCAGGTCGGAACTCCTCAGATCATGAAATCTTTGCACAGTAAGGGTTGATCCTCGTTGTCAGCGTAAGAAGAAGAAAAGGAAATAGGATCCGAGCCCCCATTAATCAAAGTGAATTCGCGTGTGTCTGTTGTAGCTGATTCTCCAAAAGAAACCATTCTTGAGTGCCTCCTTAGTTCGGAAAATGTTTGTCCATGCAAGAGAAGGATTGTTCCCAAGTTTGGCTTTAGATCGAGTAAAATATTTTTGCTTCGAAAACTCTAAACAAAAGAGATCTCGGCTTGTGAAGAAATCGCCACACTATTCTTGTCAAATTGTAAGTAAGACCACTTCTTTTATAACAATCCTTCTGGATAGAGTTTAAAAACCACTATTCTTCCATGTAACTTGCCTAACTTTAATTATATCAAGTTTCATAATTGAACATATTATTTATAACAGAAACATGCTAACCTAATTCTGGTATGTAATAGGATTAATAAATCTACAGATACAGCAAATCTACAAACTACAATGTCGAATAACTTAATTTTTATAAAGTATTCCCATTCCTTTCATCTTTTGTTCCTTTTCTTTTAGGTCCATCCAAAATTCCCCTCCATTTAGAATGCACTTTCCAAATATTTTACTTGTACTAGGTTAATCATTTTCTTTCTTAGGTATACCATTTATGAATCAGGGTTAGGAAATATAATGGATTTGATTTAAAATATAAAATATGAATAAAAATAAAAGAGTTTTAAGAATGAGCTCACAGTACATAGTCAGAAACTCATACTAGATATGTCAAATACCTGGTGAGTGCACACATACAAACAGAGAGAGGAGGAGGGGGTGGGACTTTGGTCTTAATACCTTGTCAGAGCATAGTCCCTAAAGCCATTAATCAGCTGGCAAGCTTCAAGGGTGCCAATACATCCTCGTAGCCGAGGCTCACCACCATTCACAACCTTCTTCCATGTCACAAACAACGGTCTTAAAACAGAAGATGATTTGTCTCAGATGAAAGCATCAATTTCAAAGTAAACAGAAATAAAATGAGAACAAAGGAAAACCAAAAATGGCGGAGATAGTTTAATGACCATCTACTGTATATTGGAACCCAACAGCAAAAGAAAACTGAATAGAAGCAATAAAAGAAAGACTGCAACACTACAGAAATTCTTAATATAGATCCGTCCCTGACAGTAACGAACCAAATGGAGAAGCAAACAATAGCACTCACTGATAAGGAAATCATTAAATCAACACAATACAGCAGCTATAACTCATTATCAAATTCTTCCAAGTCAAAGCAAGTAAAGGTCTAAAATATAAAGAGCACTGAGAAGCTCAACTCAACTAACAACTTGATTGAAATTGACTGCATAATGTGTGCTTGCATTCAAAAAGCTTTATCTAAATAAATATTTTTTGAAGGAACAAATTTCAATTTAGGTTATGAACATAAGGGATGGAGGATATATCGATACTCTTTTACGCTTATAGTTAGTGTAAAGTCAGCTTACGATAAAAACCAAGTACGGAATTTACAACATTGCAACGATAAGCCTTGTTATGCAGTGTTATGCCATCTATACTAGGGTAAATCACAAAAAATACAGTATGTAGAAGCCCTATGTTGTATATATTATTCCAACTTGGACATGCCAACACTGATATATTCGACTTTGTTCCAAATATTTTCACATATATGGAGTGTTCAGGAGAACCATATCGATCAGACCGAAAGGGAAATAAAGAGTGGAATAGGACAAATAAAAATTATAGAAGATTGTTATTCTTACAGGAACCAAATTGCTTAAAAGGAAAACCAGACACAGATTTTGATCTGACAACCTTGATTTGTGTTGTTGACCAAAACATTAACACACGCTAATTCTTTTAAAAGATCCAAAAACAACAATGACAGAATACTGAGTTCCCAACATCTACTAATAATTTTCGTTGTTGTTTTTTTTAAAAAAAAAAACTAAAAACTAATGCCAAGAACACACAAAAAAAGGAAAAATAAAAACAATCAGCATCCAAGTCATCAATATGAAAGAGGAGAAAAGAAGGGGAGCTGGTTTGAGATAACAAGAGGATTACAAAACAATGAATAAGAGAGAGAGTAAATTACTGTTGGGCCTCGTCGAAGGCAGGCGGTGCAGCCTCTTGGCTGTTGTAATGGGCGAGCAAAGTTTCGAAGCAGTAAACCACCATTTCGTTGTTAGCCAACACCATCTTCGTCAATTTTTCAAGATCTCCAAACTTTCTTCGCCGACTGCACCCCCTTTCCACCATTTTATTCCCTCACGTCATTGCTTTGCCCTTTAATGAAAAATAATTTTAGTAAATAAAATAATAAAGTCGGATAGATGTATTGTGGCTTAAATATAAAATAAGTGTCCAAGCCAATATTATAATTTTTTTAAGAGAAAATAACCTCAGTGACCAAAAATCCCATATAATATATGATTTTAACCAATTTTTTCTGGATTTGCCAAAATGACCAACAAAATCGCAATGCGATCGCTAATTCGCAACGCGATCTCCATTATCGCAAATTCGCGTTGCATTTTCGCAATGCGATAGTTGAAAATCGCGTTGCGATGGTCTACAGTATCGTTGCGATTTTCCCAATTCGCAATGCGAATAAGTAAATCGCAACGCGAATTGGGAAAATCGCAATGCGAATAAGTAAATCGCAACGCGAATTGGGAAAATCGCAATGCGATACTTACTATCGCAATGCGATAATACAAAATCGCAACGAGATACTGACTTTCGCAACGCGATTCTGACTTTCGCAACGCGATTTACATAGCGCCATTCGTATTAACGCGTATTTTTTTTTCAAATTCCAAACACGAATTTTTTCTTAATAAATCGGAAAATGAACCGTCCACAGTAATCGCAACTCATAACCTCAAACCCAAAAACATAACACTCAGTCCCATCTCCATCTCTCACTCTCTACGGTGAAATCCGTCCCCATCTCTGAAGATTTCCGTCCCCATCGCCAGCGAAATCCCTCACAACCATTCACAGTCAAAAATTCCTCACAATCATTCAGAAATATAAAATCAACCTCCGAGGGTTAGTTTTTTTTTATTTTTATTTTGAAATTTTTGCATTATTTTAGGTTTTTCATATTGAGATTGATGATAAGTTTACTGGTAATTTCAATAATAGATTAACCATTTCACTTAGATTTCTTATTAAATTCATTCGATTGCTGCCAATACTGCTAAACTGTTTAGCCTGTGAAGTTAGTATTTATCTTTGCTTTGTCTTTTGGTTGAAGTAATGCAGAAGAAGAATAGTTTCGAGAATGAAAATCGCAACGCGGAAATAACTATCGCAACGAGATAATCGCAACGCGAAATAAAAATCGCAATCGCATTGCGATTTTCATTTCGCGTTGCGATTTTCATTTCGCGTTGCGATTTTTATTTCGCGTTTGCGATTTTCATTTCGCGTTGCGATTATCTGGTCGCGATAGTCATTTCGCGTTGCGATTCTCTCGTTGCGATAGTCATTTCCGCGTTGCGATTCTCATTATCTCGTTGCGATTTTTCATTTCAACCAAAAGACAAAAACAGTGTTGCAAATTTTAGTTTCAAGAATAAACTACTATTTATGTTTATTGTTTTGTTTTTGGTATATCTTGACAGTGTAATTTTTGGTATATCTAACTTGGTATGTTTATTGTTTTTTTGTAGAAATTTTTTTCGGCTTCATTGACATTAAGGAATAAAGTTAGCCTAGCCACTACAATTGCTTCGAAGCTTTCAACTGCACAAAGAAAATTGTTTGAAGAAACCTGCTTCAGGCCATGGCTGAGAGTACAGCATCCGGGTGGAGATGCTAGTTTGACCCATTTGTGGCTTCAGACCATGACTAGCGATCTACCCGACAGTATACAACGTGGTGAGGAAGAGATATGGTTTCATTTTCCACCGGCGTATACTTGTTTTGGGCGGAAGGAGTTCTGCTTAATCACTGGTCTACGATTCGGACACGATGATGTAGGCCGGTACACTCATCATATCACCCGCCCATCATGGTTATCCAGGGTTTTTCCTGATGATTCAATAGAGAAGCCGAACTTACACGTCGACGACATGAAGAAATTGTTTAATAAGAAAGATGGTTTTACTCGGATGAATGACGTCGATGTTGTCCGAGTATGCCTTCTACTACTTTTGTATGCCGGCTTTTTAGGCAGAGAGGCCAGACAACCTATTCCTCAGGAGCTAATATTATTGGTAGAGGACCTAAATGCATGGAATCTGTTTCCGTGGGGTTCGTATATATGGAAAGCTACCTGGACTAAGTTGTCGTCTGCCTTTGATGACCGCAAAAGTTTGCGGGGCGATGGGTCGAAATACACTTTGTCAGGCTTTGTTTGGGCCTTTAAGGTAAGAATTTCTATATAATGTTTTCAAAATTATAATTAATTATTTAATAATTACTAATGTTTGTTATTATATTGTTTGTAGATTTGGATATTTGAGGCTTTCCCCAGCATGCGGACATATGCATTAAAATCCTCAGATGATATTCCTAGGGCTATTTCCTGGAAGAGGAAACGTATGTTGGATTGGGAAGACTTAATACCATATGCGACAATAAATAATGTAAGTTAACACAAATACTATCATATATAAACAAGTTATTAATAGTAGACGTTTAACTTTGTTTTAGTTTTTATATTTTTAGGAGGCCAACACTCTATTAATGAGACTGACACCGACGGAGGCTGAGCTTGCCACTGATTGGTGGCAAGCTAGTCAGCGTTTTTTTGATGGCACGAATGATGAGCAGCCTCCACTTCTTCCACTTCGAGAGCCATCACCTCACCCAGAGCCATCACCTGATCGACCCGACTATACACCTCTACAACGAGAGCCATCACCTATCCCGTCACATCATCGAGTCTCTTCTCCATCATCACCTCATGATAGGCGACCGACAAAGATGCCACGACTTCTATCTCCCTGTTCTCCACCTCCACGGGATGAGTCAAGGGAGTTACGTGATGAGGTCAATGCCTTGCGTGAGGAGATCGGTACTCTACGCGATAACGATGGTGTATGGCGTGTGGAGGTGTCTACTTTACGTGGTGAGGTTGCCGCTCTACGTGAGATGGTAGTATCGTTGCAGAATGAGGTTCATACTCTACGCAACGAGGTAAGTTTAAGATTTTTCATATTTAACTTGATGATAAATTTACTCGTAATTTCACTTAAATTAACCATTTCACTTAGATTGCTTAGTAAATTTATTCGGTTGCTGCCAAAACTGCTAAACTTTTTACTTTAACACTGTGAAGTTAGTATTTGTCTTTGTTTTGTCTTTTGGTTGAAAGTTTGAAATATATTTATCTTTGTTTTCACTGTTTAAATATCATGTCTGTTTATTTACTGATATTTGTATTTTTATTTAGCGGACCGATAAGGTGGATGCTTTACGTCGGGTTTTTCTTGCACGACAGAGTTCACGCATCAGACGGCGTGCACGTGCTATTAAGTCTCCGTATACCCCAATAGTGCGAAGACACCGCAAGAAGAAGCCCGACTCGCCTATCATCCCTCAAGAATCCACTCCTATCGTTGAAGAGGCCCCTATCATTCCTCGAGAGTCCCCTCCCACCATTCAAGAGCCCGATTCACATGGCGTCATATGTAGGATTCTTGAGAAACCCTCTGACGTGCCGGACATGATGGATTCAAGTTGGCTCTCGTATGAGTTACCGGCCAGTACCATACCGGTATCTGAAGAGGAGAGGAAACAACTACCGGACACAATTCTGGATAACACCCTTTGGGCTAAGACCGCAGTTGATTTTTATCTACATGAGCGAAGCCATGGGTGTTTCACTGACATATGCAAGCTCAATGATGATATCTATTTGTTGCTTGATCGGTCTTGGTGGGGCGTATTATTAGGGGTCGAAGACAATGGCTATTTCGATGGAGGGGTAAGTCTTATATTTTTCTTATATTTTCATTTGATTATTTTTTTTGTAAATTTATGTAAGTTACTAATATATGTCTTTTTTTGTAAAACAACATATCGATGCGTGGGTGTCACGTCTTCTAATAATTAGGAAACTTAAGGAAAATAAAAGAAATACACGGTATACAATTATGCCGACGTCTTTTAACGCCGTTCACTTGAAGAATCAACGAGATGAATCATTTGTGTTGGGCAATGGACAAGCTAAACTTTATCCTGCATGGTGGGAGGTCGATAAGGTTAGTGTTTATTTTAGATTGAGTTTAAAGGTATTCATAAATAAGTGCGCAAATGAATGAATTATTACTTATGATTGCAGGTGTTTATCCCTGTTTTGGAACGTAACCATTGGCTTCTCGTCGAGCTTCAGATCCCATCCCTTAAGGCAATAGTATATGACAGCATGATAAATTACATATCATTGGCTGATTTAAGAGATATTATTAAGGGATGGAGCTCTTATTTGGCTAAATACTTGGATGCGATAAATTATTGGACTCGTTCTGGAAACAAGAAGCCAAAGAAGCTCAATATTACAGTTAGCAGAGACGAGACCGCACCACAACAAACGAAAGGACCCAGAGGGGATTGTGGTCCTCTCGTATGCTTGGCGTTGGACCGTTTGATCACAGGAAGTATAAAGTATCTACCTCCCACCGATATAGATAGAGCTGCAGTAGGCTTGTGGTTTCGACATTATATGGCTAGATCGATATATACGAGACGCTGCCTACCTGCATCCGCGTTATAAAAATGTCCATAAACAATTGGTATGTTTATAGGCTTGTGGTTTGAAAATGTTTGGTTAAGTACCTAGAATTCAATAATTTGCTGTTTGTAGGTTTTAGATGTGTAGAAAGTGTTGTTTGAGCAAATGTTTGGTTTATGCAGGTTAATCTCAGAAGTGAGCTGCGTGAAAATGATGTATGGCTGCAAAAGTTGATTCAATAGTAGAAGTGTTATTTTCTCTAATAATTATTACTTATTTTTTGATTGTTTAATTGATTTGTAAAAGGTGATTTGTAAAAGTTGATTTGTTTAATTGATGTTAACATAATTCTTATTTGTGCTTGTTTAATTGATTGAAATGTAATGGTTGATTTTGTTGATTTCAATCTGCATTATGTTGAAGGCAAAAAGTACTATCGCAATGCGAAATGAAAATCGCAACGAGAGAATCGCAACGAGAAAATGAAAATCGCAACGCGAAATTAAATTCGCGTTGCGATTTTCATTTCGCATTGCGATTCCCTCGTTGCGATTTTCATTTCGCATTGCGATAGTAATTTCCGCGTTGCGATGGACATTAAGATGATTGCCTATTAAGTGATAACAACTGGAACAGATCATAGCAATTTTCAAACTCAAGTTACTAATACATGCCTAACTGAAAATGTTAAAAGTTCACACATAAAATCTACATAATACAACGTTTGCATTTAAAAATCACCTAAGTTAACAGTCCCAAAAGGTGAAGCCAGTTGTGATTGGGATTTTAAAGATGATTGCGATTTTGATTGCCTTTTTCTTGACACCATATGAGCTTTGGATTTTGATGATGATCCATATTTTGGTAGAGGAAAAGATGATTGTGATGGCACTGGTGATCCACATGTCAACCTTGTATGACCACTTTCCTTGCACCGACTACATGTCGATCTCTTATTCTCTTCACCCTTAGACGGTATACGATCGTGACTTTTTGGTCGGCCAGGTAGCCTTCTGTCCATGGCTAGTGGCAAAACTGTTTGTAAGTCATCTGGTATGTCCCACTCAGAAGGATGTGAAATAGGGTAGACAATCTCGGCATAAGTCTGTCGATATACTTCTGTAGTGTAGCAATCCATAGCGTATGTGCTTGAATCATCTTGGTTTAGATGAAGAGCAACTTTTATAACATGGCCACATGAATAACCAGATGTTTGCCATTTCATACAACTACATGTCCTTGCATTTAGATCGACAAGCCCATTTAAGTTATTATCCAGTACTTCAAACAAAGTGTTTGAACATGGTTCAACTCTCCATGACGTTGACTTCACAACACGTTTCGTTATCTTTTTTTCAGTCCATGGTGTAACACGATGTTCAAATGTTCCTGTAAATTTAAATAAATAATACTTAGTAAAATATATGATAAGTTACGAATTCAAAGAAATAATACATGCATGGTTTCTTTTCTTATAGTACCACTGTTGAATAGAGGCTCGAAAAAACTCCATTAACATAGTAATGGGTAATTTCCGAGAATGACGACTTAGAGCGTTAATTGATTCTGCACTATTAGACGTCATGAAACCATATCTTGCTCCAAGTTGATGTACTCTTGACCATCTTTCAAACCCGACATCTTCTAGTGTTTGAGCACACTGAGGCAAAACACGTCTTAAACAATTTATATGCTTATTGAAATCCACTTCCCGATAAGCCTTTACAGCCTTCCAGTATGTCCATTTGTGCTTTTTTATACCAGCAGACCTTGATTTTAGATTTCTATACAAATGAACACCACAAAGTCCATGAAAAGCATCTGGGAAACACCTTCTAACAGTGTTGTCAATTGAGTTTGCCCTATCGGATATGATTGTCAGATTGCTAATAGGACCTATGCAATCCCTAAGATGCCCCATAAACCATGTCCATGAATCAGAGGTTTCAGATTTGCCAACCCCGTAAGCTATTGGCAATATCCCATTGTTAGCATCCATGGCTACTGCTAATAAGTTTACTTCAAGGTATCGACCTTTCAAATGTGCTCCGTCAACTATAATAACTGGGCGCATGCAAGTAATAAACGAACGAATCTACAAAATAATATACACAAGAAATATAATCATTTAAATGTGAAATGCATGTAACTAACAGAAATGAGTCAACAGAATTATATTGATTTACTAACCGCAGCACCAATGGCGATAAACAGCAACTCAAAGCGTCCATCTCTATCTGTTTTGATATGAGTTACCGACCCAGGATTTTTCAGCTTTAAATTGTGACAATAAGCCGGTAGTTGGGCAAACGATGCTTCTGGCGACCCCCTCAACAATTCCAAGGCATAACATTTGGCTCTCCAAGCTTGAGAATATGATATACTAATCTTGAACCGAGCATTCATGTCAGTCATAATTTCATGTCCCCGATATACCCTGCCATTCAAAAACATTAACTCAGCCAGAAAACCACCCAACACCTTTTTGTTTGCCTGTCTATGGTGAGGAAAA